AGGATAAAAAAAGTAAATAATAAAATGGAGATTGAGATAAAAGAGGGCATAATAGCAAATCAGCACAGATCAAAACATAACCATTTAAGCAAAATAGTGTTTCACCACAAGATTATCCTGACATAAAAGTAGTTACCATATTGTCTCTTTCCTTGAAATCTTTGAGTGTAACTTCGTATACTGTAGCATCAAATATATCTAAACAATGTAAAACCATTTAAGAGAATGACAGTATGACAGGGTATTTAGAATCAACTAACAGAAAATAAACAGTGGCTTCTGTGTAATCTCCTTGTCTATAAAAGGTTTTGCTTATACTATCATGTATAATAAAATCCAATAAGATACCACCTGTTTAGACCAATGGAGACAGAAGAACAAAAGCTTGATGAGACTTCAAAACAAGATGATACTAAATCAGTATTACCTCTTAAGACGTCATTTTCTCCAAAATAGCTGTTCCAATTTTTTCTGTCTCATTTCTGTTGAGCACTTTTTCTGTCATTAATTGTCAGTTTGTCTTCTTCATTTTGTTTTCTGCTCCATTCATTGTGGCCTCTCTGCCGCTACTTCTGGATTCTTTGTATTTTTCTTTTTTAGAATATCTTGCAGTATTCTCTGTAGAGTTGAATTGGTGGTTGCATATTCCCCTAGTTCCTCTTTATCCTGGAAGCACCTTGTTTTTCCATCAATTTCCAGGGATAGTTGTGCAGGATATATCAATCTTGGCTGGAGATTATTATCTTTCAAAGCTTGAATTATTTCCCCCCACGCTCTTCGTGATTTGATGGTTTATGCCGAGAAGTCTGCTGTAATTCTGATGGGTGTTCCCTTGTAAGTGATCTGTTTCTTGTCTCTGACAGCTTTTAGTATTCTGTTCTTGTATTGGATTTCTGGAATTTTAATTATTATATGCCTGGGTGTTGCTCTGTTTGGGTTGTAGGTGGCTGGGGTCCTGTATGCTTCATACAACTGAGTATCTTTACCTTTTGCTCAATTAGGAAAATTCTCCTGGATTATTTCTGTGAGTAGCTTTTGTAGTTCATTTGTTTGTGTCCCTACTTCTTCTTTTATGTTCTTAATTCTTAAGTTATAGACCCTCTTATCATCTTCTAGTCTTTGTATTTTTGCTGTTTGTTTCTTTGTTATTTTTAAGAAGTTTTTCATTTCATGCTCCCATATTACAAATCTGCCCTCCAGTTCAGATAATCTGTCCTTAGTTTCTTTCAAGCTGTTATGCCAGTTTTCGATAGACTTTTTAGTTTCCTGGTATTCTCTTTGAACCTGCTTCACAAATTCTATGCTTTCTCTATTTTCTCCATTAAACAATTCTCCCCTCTTTTTTCTGTTCTTCCATTCCACCATCTGTTTTTTCTTGGGTGGTGCTTAGCATTTCTTTAACTATTCTGCTTATGTCTAGCTTCAGGTCATTAATAACTTCATTCCTGAACTTGTCTATGAGGCTCTCAAGATAGCGCTTTATATCTATTGGTGCTGTGTCTGCTGTTGCCTCTTTCTCAGGATTGGGGGCTGAGGACCTTTCTTGTTGCTGCCTCTTCCCATATTCTTTGTTCCTTATATATGCAAGCGTATATAGGAGGCCCAGCTTCCTTCCCTGTTGGCCACAGTCTGATTGAATTGCGCCAGCTAGGTGTTCCCGCCCACCGCAGCGCACCACGAAGTTGCAGACCAGGCAGCCTATGCGGGGGCCCGCCCCTCCAGGTCAATCTACCTTCAGGAGCTGGGACCTGGGCTGTGCTAGCCTACTGGGTCTCAGCCAGCAGTGTCACGTAGGCTAGGCACTGCTCACCAATCCCGCTTTGAGAGGGGTACTGGTGACTGAAGTCACTGCAGCGCCCTGTTCCCGCGAGTCTGCCCGTTCCCCGAATGTCCTCTGTTGGAGTCTCTTAGACCGTGGAAGAGTCCCAGTTTTCCCTCACTCACCGGAGCTGGATGCACGGCTCCCCGCCTGTCCCGCTCTCAACTCCGTTCACCGATTCCCGTTCTCAGAGCTTCCGCGCGTCTCTCTCCCTGCCGAGCCGATGCAGACGCAGCGGCGGCGGTGGGAAACCCAAATCGCGGCTTCCAATGGCGCGGGCTCCAGTTTCCACACTGAGGCTTTATCTGTTCCTGTTATAGCACCAGGATTACATTCCCATTTGGTTTCTCAGCCCAGTTCGTTCTTGGGTCACTGGGGCATATCTCGTCTTGCTTATGATTCCTTACTCAGCACCATTCCTGAATTCTAAGCTGGGTGTTTCAGAGAGCCTCTGTAGCTGCTGCTATCTGTCCGCTATGGTTTCCCAGAAGTCTAGACCATGTGTCTTTAAAGATTTATATAATTAAACATAGAAATATATGAACTCCCTATATGAGCTATACACTATGATAGCCATGGATATTATTTTTAGATTAATAAAATCCAGCACATTTAAGACAGCTTTTTATAAGGAGTCACCTATGAACTCGAGGAGGAATATACTATGTAAGAAGACAAATATGTGTACAGACTCCTCCTCTCCATGTGCCTGCAAGAACCTTTGGTGATTTTGAAGTTCACAGAGGTCATTCTGGAAATGAATAGATATTTCAGAAAAGTGATTTGTTGGTAGTGTCTTACAAGTAGAATTTTGCAAGGTAAGTAAAGAATTCTAGAAGAAGGAGTGGAAAGGGAAGAGGAGGATAAGCAGGACATCTCAAAGGTGTCATGTTGAGTGCAGGCAAGCAAGTCCTAGTGCTGCAGTGGGGCACAGAGTGTAGCCATCAGGGCTAGGAATTTCGCTCAGAGGCATAAAGCACCTGCCTGGCAAGTGTGAGGTTGTGAGTTCAATTCCCAATACCAAAAAGCACCAAATACCATCACTATCATGCTAAGGCATTTGGATGTTATTGTGCATCCTCATAGGGTAGAAGAATCCTTTCAAGGACCTACAGTGTTGTCATTGGATTGGCCTTTGTGATCCTTCATCAGAATGGCTTTGGGGAAATACTGAAGTTTGGGATCCAGTACTAAGGCTATTGTATAGATGCAGGAAAACAGTCAGGGTTTATAACCAGGGCTTATAACCTAGTATTCACTAATCATGCATCCCTGCATAACATTCAGGTGGTCTAAGAATTTAGAGAAAAAAATACATTTGTACCAACCTTTACCTGCAGTGGAACACTTATTCCTGTTATGAAGGAAGCCAACCCTGGTAGCAGTAGTACTTTCAGCTTTTCTTATCTTTTCTTTTTTTTTTTTTTTCTGAGACAGGGTGTAGCTATATAGTTCAAGCTGGCCCTGAACTTGCGGCAATCTGCCTCAGCCTCTTAAGTACTGGAATTACAGAGCCAGCTGCTTTTTACTTTTCTGATACTAGAAATCAGATACTTTAATATCACATTAAAGTTGTTGCAGGTATTTGGAAATATCACTAATACCATCCTTAGTTTGAAATTATGATAGTTTTAAGATCTAGATTTTATATTAGTTGATAAAGGGGCATATATAATGTTAATAAGTCACTTTATTACTACGATAATTATATTTATTTATTTATTTTTGTCTTTTTCCTTTTTATCGGTACCAGCGATCGAACTCACGACTACCTGCCTGCAAGGCAGGCGCTTAAGCCGCTGAGCTACACCTCCAGCCCAGATAATTATATTGTTAATAAAATTGGTTTCCATGTACACATCAACACTTTTGGGGGGGTGTCTTTTTGAAATAAGATTTCAGTAGGCAGTTCAGGCTAGCCTTGAATGAACTTTGTAGCCCAGACTGGCCTTGAACTTGCAGTGATACTTCTGTCTCAGCCTCCCAAGTGCTGGGATTACAGGCATGGCCAACACACCTGGCACATTAACACATTTATATTTTAAACTCAAATATTACTTTAAGTCCAGGTTCCAGATGACTAAAGGAGTTATGATACAAAAAATGGTAATAACTTGTGGTAAAGAGAAATAGTAGATCTTCCAGGATATTCTGGTACTTTGTCAGTTTCAGCAAGTCTCACTAACAAGTTTGTGCCATACAGAACAAACTACTCATGAAATATCTTCTAATCTTAAATTTCTATCCTTGATTTTTCCCCCCTTTCTAAATAGTAACTTCCGTGGCCTTCCTCATCTAACTAGAACATAAATTACACCATTTTCCCCCAATTTCTCTAATCAAAAAGGTATGGGTTCTTTGTAATAATCTATTTTTCTAGGAAAAATAAACTTTTTCCTTTACTTTCACATCAGAGTTAACATAGAAGAACTCTGATAGCAAATGTGTGAAGATTTCTTTTTACCGGTGAGTAAGCAGTCAGTTTTATAGTGGATACCTACAGTGCCTCCTCTTTGTTTTGTTTTGGTGCCATCTACCATTTGTTGGAGGTACTATTAGATGACACAGGCATAGGTCTTAGCCCTCAAGACTGTCCTTCCAGCCTCGCTTTGGGTGCCAGATGCAGCCCTTGGATTTTCTTTTCTTTTTGTTGAACTGGTGTCAGGCATTGAATTCCAGTCTTCTGCATGGCGAGCGTGTGCTCTACTACCCTCAGACACATCTGTAGTCTCTCCCAGATTGCGTTCCTGATGCTTTTGACTAACTAGCCATATAAATCATGGTGTCTACAACCCTATCATTGTGCCCAATTAATTGGCCCCAGAGGCTCCCCTTGCTCAGGAAAACGCCTGTTTATCTGTTATAAAGGATATTAGAAAAGATCCAAAAAAAGATCTGCATAGGGTGATGTATAGGGAAGGGGTACTGAGTTTCCATGACCTTTCCTGGTGTGCCACTTTCTGGGAAGCTCCATGTATTTGGCTTCCAGAAAACTAAACCCTGCCTTTGTGGGATTTTTTAGCGACACGTTGCATAAGCATGATTAAAACACTGACAGCCATGTGGAAATGTGATTGGGCAAAAGGTGTGCTCTAGTGCTGTCGGTGGGTGAGGAAAACCAGCAAGACTTGTTTTCTTCAGCACTCTTCTTGGCTTGCTCATGCGGCATTTCTCCCTCCAGGGTCTGGGGCAAGGTCCACCTGAAATGAAGACAGTCTTATGAACTATTTTCTTAGAAGGGTAAGTAAGGGAATTTATCTGTCGCTCGTTAAAGGCAGAACGATGAAAAGAAATTGAGTTTTTATGATCTGTTTGGAGAAATTTTAGTTTCTGTGACTTGCCTTGGATGGGAGTTACGAACCAAGTAACCATGGACAGAAATCCAAAATCCTTAAATGGCAGCATCTCTTACCTAACCTTTGTGTCTAGGGACATATGTATCTACTTGTGGTGCCCAGTCTTGTTCATCTTATTTTGAGGCAGTGTCTAGCTTAGTCACCCCGATTCTGTTTAAAGCTATGGGGCTCTCCCACCTCAGCCTTTTGAGTAGTTGAGATTAGTCATGTGCTGCCTTGTTGTCTACATTTCTCTTCTCTGTCATGAAGTCCTAAGCTTTGTGAATCTGTGTGCCTTTTAATCTCTATTGTCTACTTAATTGAGGGCAACCTGCAAATAGCTAATAGGTATTCCTATTTCTATTCTTAATCTGTTGCAGTCTCTTACCTGCATAACAGGCAGATTGGTCCTTTTGGTAAAGAAGATTTTGCTGTTTAAAACGCCCTCTGATGGCTTTTTTTTGTATTTTAGATTAAATTCTGCCTTGGCTCACAGAGCTGTATGTGAACTGGTCCCTGTCTGCCTCTCCAAAATTCATCTTAAGATCTGAGGACAATGGGTTGTGACTTTGTTACACCACTGATCATCTGGGTTGATTAAGCTGATCTGGCTGGCAAGGTGAGAGTTGCCTTTCTCACAGCTCTCTGCGTCTCTCCTAAAGCTGTGTGCTTAGTGGAAAAGAATGACTTTTCCCCAGTAGAGAAGGACCGTTCTTCAGTCTCATGTATAGAGTAACCGCTCCTCTAATATAATAGAACCTCCAAAACTCTCAAGGTCCAAAAATCTTGTATCCCTGTCCTCTTGACCCACAAGGTTCAGCCGTACTGGCACACTGGCTTTTTTTTTTCCTGTTCGGGTAAACATACCATCATACATTCTGCCTTTAGGATTTTTTATGTTTGCTGATCTCTGCTTCAGAATTAGCAAGTGTTTTCTGTAAGTTGTCTTCTTGATGCCACCCCGATTTCTGCTTTATTACCTAGTGGTCCCCGCTACCATGTAATCACTCTTAGGTCTTCTTATTCCATCTATTTATCTGCATTGTACTTACCATCAGCTGCTGTTTTCTTCCTTTGGCTGGCATGTAAGTTCTATCAGAGGAAGAATATTGACTGCCCTGTTTCACAGTTAAAGTACTTACATGCATCCTGTATAAAACATCCGTTAGGATTTTGAGTGGTTATCTATAGCCAGAAATGTAGAGAAGGAAGTAATGACTTCATAAACTGTGTATGACACTGTACTTTTTGTCCACAGGAGGCTCATTGCATTTTGTAAGATGCAAAGTCAGCTATACTGACTGGCTAAAACTGGAAGTAGTCTATATGCCCATTAACAGATGAAGAACTAAAGAAAATTTGGTATTTATATATAGTAGAGTACTACTATGCCATAAAGAAGGATACACTTGAGGCATTTGTAGGTAAATGGACACACCTCAAAGCCACAATATTATGTGAAATATATCAGACAAGCTTAAATACTACATAGTTCCTCTTATAAGAGAAACCCAAAATGTAAATAAAGAACAAAATAAAAGACAGATGATAGAAAGTAGGAAGATCTTTTTCAAATGGGAACAGGAACAAGAGATAGAGGATAGAGAAAGAATGGAAAAAGGATTAAAAAACAGAAATGAAAATGGAGTAGAGCTTTTCTGAATTGGAAAGGAATCAAGCGTTGGAGTACAAAAAAGAATTAAGGTGTGTTCCATACATGTACAAATTCCCCATAATAAACGTAACCATTGTGTACTATAAACACCTACTAATAAAAAGTTGATAAAAAATAAAGCCAAAAAGCTGTAATGGAATGACACTTTTAAGGGTCTCATGCAAAGCAGGATAGAGAAAAGAGAGTATCTAGGAGATACACGTATATGTGGGCGGTTAGTCCAGTTAGACACTTCTTAACTTACCTGAATGATCTAGATTCCAGAGAAGGCTAAGATAGAAACTCAGTAACTATCCACCAAGTAACTGCCAGGAGTTGAAAAGCACAAAGTGAAGCAAGTTATCAGAGGATTAGCCAACCAGTAAGTACCTAGGAGACTTTAAAAAAAAATTGAAAGAAACAAATAAATGGGAGAAAGAATTGCCCAAGGTTTAGGGAGTGGGGAGGAGAGGAAGGGGGAAAACCCCCAGAAAAATGGAATCATCCCTAACTGCTTTGACTTTTACTCAGCTTATCCTGATGAGAACCAACCTCAGGATTTCCTGGGTCTTGGGTGGTAATGAGAAGCAGCTGGTGGATTGTGCAGGCTTGGGAGGGAGGGAGGGAGGGAAAGAGGGGATGTAATAGATAGATTTCCAATGTGGAAACAGCATTTGTTTGGCAGAGACTCAGCTGTTATTAGATCTGTCACAGATCATTGAGGTCATTTAGTCCATTGTCTTCCAAATTTTACAGACAAAGGAGCTTTTAAATTGTTTTTCCACTCTAAGTCCCACATTGCAGAAATTTTTTCTCAAACCTTCAATTATTAATAATTTCCTTCCATTTAAAACTAAAGATTGCAATTGGAGCAACATATGCTATCCCTAGCAAATTGACTTAAATTGAACTAAAAGACCAAAAACAAAGCAAAACAAAATCTTACAGTTTTAGCTATAGCATTTGGAGTTAAATGGTTTAGATTTTTAAGTATTTGAAATGGCTTGTGACCCTCAGTTTTAGGCCTAAATTCATTTCTGAGGCCCATTTTTGTGAAATCTTTCTGTCATTTAGGCACAGGGGGGTTTTGCTTAGGTCACCATCTGTAAAATGGGTATAATACTGCTATCTGCTTCAGGAGTTACTCAGGATCACTTGATAATAGTCTTCAAGCACTTGGCAGGTATTAGTAAATAATTATCTGTTATTCATTTTTATATGATTTAGAGCTGTGTAGTTAATGGCCTCAGAAATTGTCTTGTACATTGCGGATTCAGGATTTGATCTTTTATTTTTTAAGAATTGATTTCTTAAAGATTAAAAAAAAGAGTTGAGCAAAATATGTTCTATAAGGCAGTTGCGGATGGAGGGATAATTAGAGCTGGCAGATTCTATGGTGTTTTTGTTGTTGGTTTCAGCTGTACTGAGGACACAATGTTGGACCACGTACGCTAGGCAGTCACTTTACTCCCCACGTGAACTGGCAGAATTTTAAAGCTTCCAGACCATTTAAAAAATGGCTGTTCTGCTTTCTCTGAACACAGGGTGTGAAAAAGTGGGTTACTGATACCCAGTAATGAGCTGCTGCTGCTGTTCTATGAGTGACCTTATGTGGAAAGAGAGAGAAGGAATAAAGTTAACATATTGGCAAAATTTTTAAGAGTGATTTATGATCTTAAGTGTCTTTCATATATTCATTTTATATTACAATATATTTCATGTATATCAATTAGGATCAATATCAAATGAATGTACATAAATAAATAAAACATTTCCTTGTTAGCCTTTGGTATAAATTTTGTGTCTGGATTCTGAATTTTGGAGGTTGTCTTGTTGCTCTTTACTATTCTGCCATCTTCCTAGAAGTCCGGGCGTGTTATTTCGACTCAGGAAGATGAGTATCGCTTAGAATTTATAGTTCAGTCTTACTGACTAGTTTTAGTAAAAAGATGAGTCTATCTCTTACGTACCTTTGCTGGAGAATTAATAAAACAATCTTTTTGACAAAAACAGTGGTATTATTCTTTTTTTTTGTCTTTTTCCTTTTTATCGGTACCAGGAATCAAACTCACGACCGCCTGCTTGCAAGGCAGGTTGCTTATACCGCTGAGCTAAACCCCCAGCCCTGAAGTCATAAATTCTTAATGAACAGGCTTGAACACAGAAAGTTGGTTTGATTTTTTCAGTATTTCTCTGTATAGCTTTCCTTTTATTGCAGCAGAATGGGTTCCTTTTAGTATTGTTTGAACTGTTACTTTTTAATTAGATCTTTGCTTGAACTGTTTAGTCTTTACCATTTACGATGAAGACTGTAGTTCACTTTAGTATATTAATCTTTAGACAGTTTTGCCTATACGTGTTAAAGATATCTGGTGTAATAGAGAAGCGAAAAGTAAAAAAAGAACAGGACGCGGAGAGGAGCACACAGCTGTGGTGGTTGGGCTGTCTCCTTTGACCGGATCAGAGAGGCAGACGGTTACATGACCTCTGATTGGAAGTGGCACCTGAGGTGGACATGGATGATGTGTGAGGAACTGATGAGAATTTTCTTTGTGCACAAACAGGAAGGGAACTTGCAATTAGTGCTGAAGATGAAGCAGGAGTAGTAAGTGTGCTGCTTTGGCCTTCTGGCACGCTAGCCCACCACCATAATTGTACAGTAATTTTATACTAGGGCAAGAACTTTTCAATAAGTTAGGTTTGGAAGTTTTGTTGTCTGTGTTTTAGTGCAGACTCTAGTGGCAGGGTGCCAAATAGGCAAGACTAGACCAATACTATTATCAAAATATGAAATACAGTACAGCAAAAATTGGCCAGGATGTGGAGAAATCCTAACATTATATACTATGGTGAGAATGTGAAATGGTGCAGCTACTGTTTAAAAATAGCATGAAAGTGTCTCAAACAATTAAAAGCAAAAAATACTGTATGATCTACCAAATATTTATAAAAAATTAAAATCAGATGTTCCCCCAAAGTCACATGTCCTAGGACTTTGGAACTGTGATTGGGTTATGGGGGCTTATTAGCTAATTTGCCATTAAGAGATGAGGTCTGACTTGAAGAGGCAGGTCACTGCCGGTGACTTCATTTCCCTTTCCAGCTCCTCCCTACAGTCGCTCTGCTTCCCTCTGGCATGCTGTGAGCAGTTCTCTACCAGGCCCTTCTGCATTCTCTCCTGCCTTGGGCCAGCTGACTGCTGCCTGAAATGGGAGCTAGAGAAACCTCTTCTGTAGGTTGTGTCAGGTATCTTGTCCCAGTGACAAGAGAATTGACTAAGACAACACGCAGTGGAGCATTATTCAGCCTTAGGAAAATCTTGCCATATTATGACAATGTGGATGAACTTGGAGGAAATTATGTTAAATGAAATAAGCTGATTACAGTGATTTCCCTTGTATGAGGAACCTAGAATATTAAAACTCTTTGTTGCAGAGCCCATGATAGTGATTGCCAGGGATTGGGGTGAGGGAGGAAATGAGAGTTGCTATTGAATGGGTATAAAGTTTTCATTAAGCAAGATGTTGTAGTTCTAGAAATCTGAACAGCTCTTGCTATAGTTTATCATCAATAGAACTGTGTTGTAACCTTAAAATTTGCCCAGAAGATAGATCTCAGTTTAAGTGTTCTTACTAAGATATAATGGAAAAATAGTTGTTATACCTTTATCTTGATGTCTCGCCTCCCAAACAGTATGTGGTTGTAGGTGGGACTTTTCAGAGGTGGCTGGATCTAGGGCGTGTGCTTCTGGATGAAGGATATGTTGCTGGGACTGATTCATGGTGGGATGCTAGGATTAAGGCTGCCCGCGCAGAGAGTGGCTAACTTTGATAAGATATGAGGGACAGAAAGAGTGTCGCAGCTTATCATTTAGAACTTGCTGCTTCGCTGCTTGTGCTGTCTTCTCCTTCTGCCTCCCCGTGAATTGTTTTTTCTCTGCAGTGTCCTTCAGCCGTGCCACCCTGCCTTAGATCCAGCCAGCTATGAAATGAAACCGCTACTAACTCTGATCCAATTAAAGCTTTATTCTTTTAACTTTGGGTGTTTTGAATATTTTGTCTCCGCAACAAGAAAGGTAACTAAGACACAATATTGTAAGAGATTGAGGGCCGCGGATTTAGCTCAGTGGGATAAGTGCCTGCCTTGCAAGCATGCAGTTGTGAGTTCAATCCCTGGTACCAAAAAACAAACAAACAGACAAACAAAAAAGAGATTGAGAGAAGGGCGGGGGAGGAGTTAGTTCAGTTTTGTAAGTGCCTGCCAGGCAAGCACGAGGTCATGAGTTTGATCCCTGATACAAAAAAAAAAAAAAAGATTGAGAAAACATGTATATTTTTATTTTTGATATGTGTTAATTCTACCTGTTCATGGGGTCTAGTGTAGTATTTCCATATATGTGTACATGAACTGATAACCTTTTTTTACACTCTTCTCATGTTTCCTAACCTCTGTGAAATCACTGTTGTACATTCACATGGAGTTTCTGTAGTTTCCACATAGGAGGGAACCTGTGATCCTTGTCTTTCTAAGTTATTTCACTTAAAAAATTTTCTCTAGCTTTGTGCATTTTGCTGTAAGTGACAGAATTTCCCTGTTCTTTATGGCTGAATAATATTTTGTTGTGTATATATATGCCACATTTTCTTCTGTTGACAACAGAATAAAAGTTGATTCTGTGTCTTAGCTATGTGAGTGGTGACGCAATAAACATGAGCATACAGGTATAGTATCTCTTTGATACGCTGACTTTATGATATAGATGTATAACCGAGAACTGAGGTAGCTGAATTATACAGTAGTTCAATTTTTGTTTCTTTTTAGAAATCTCCATGCTTTTCTTTATAATGGATGTACTAGTTTTCATTTCCCCCAGTAGTGCACAAGTTTTTTTTTCTCTACATTTTCCTCAGTATTTATTGTTTTTACAATTTTTTGGTTATTGTTTTATAATAGCCATTTAAACTGTTTTTATGTAGGTATTATAGTTTGGGCCTGCTGTTTCCTCTTTGAGTCTTTGGAGATCCATGAATTTATAATCTTTATAATTTTGTTCAGGCAAAGATTACAATTTCTTATGATAGGGACCCTGGTTGGGCAGGAGTGAGTCACTAGATCTAATGAAATAACTTTGAACACAATACATAATGAATTACATTTTCTTCCCAATAAATGTAACACTTTTGTTGCAGTTTTTAGGGAAAATTAGATACTGTCATTTAATGTCTAAATTTAGAAATTTATCAGCCCGAGAAGTATCCTTTAGAATCCTTGAGACCCACTATACTCAGCAAGTATTTGTTAACTGATTGATATCTCTATAAGGAAAAGAACAATTACTGTATTTCTTGTACATAATAATAAAGCACAATGATTGATTGCTTTGACATTGAATTGGGGATTTTGCTTTAAAGGAAATTATCCTTTAATTTATGAGGATTTGGCTTTTTGACCCTCTGTCATCTAAAAAGTTATACTTAAAAATCACACTTCTTTAAATGTCTCTTAGCTTTTATCATGGGCCTTTTCCAGAAGTTTACTTGCATACTCTTCTACATACTTACGGCATTTTAGGCAGGTTGCTATTTGTAATAGTGTTCTCCCAGTTTGCAAAGGAACTTGTTCAATCTTACAGCAGAAAATGACTTTATGGTTGTTAAGCTTTTTTTAAACCATCTATTCATACTTTTAAAATGATTGCTTTATTCATATATAATTGTCAGTAAAAGTGCACTATTCTCTGATTTTTTTGTATAGTCACAGACCTATACACCCATCACCACAATGAATTTTACAACTTTTCATCAGTCTCAGTAAATCTCCATCCTTTTAGCAGTCATTTCCACCAATCCCTCCAACCTAAAACAGCCATTAATCTACTTTATCTCTATAAAAATGCCTATTCTGGATATCACATATAAATGGAATCATACAATAAAGGATTTTTTGTTAATAGCTTCTCTCCTTAACAATTTGGTCCTGGTTTAACCATTTCACAATATTTATCAGCACTCCATCCGTTTCATTGCTGAATAATATTCCATAGTGAATATGTGCAAGATTTTGTTACCAGTTGATTCATGTTTGGATTGTTTGCCTCTTTTGCGTCATTATGAAAAATACTGCCATTTATGTAGATGTTAGGCATTTTTGTGTGGATATATTTTCATTTCTTTTGGGAGATTTTTTTTTCTGGTCCTGGGAATTGAACTCAGGACCTTGCGTTTGTCAGGCAGGCTCTTGTGCCACAGAGCTATAATACCAGCTCTAGGAGATTATTTTTATTATTATTATTTTTTGGCACCTAGGATTGAACTCATGACCTTGCACTTGACAGGCAGGCACTTGTGCCACTGAGCTAAATCCTCATCTAGGACATTATTTTTAATAAACTAAAATTAATCAGTTGTGTAAAGGAAGAGAGGTTGAGTTGAGTATTATTATATCAGTCAATAATTTATTTCTCTCACTTTTCATCCTTATGTATTAGTTTTTCCTAAATTTTGCTGCATTAATAATCGTATGATATCGATGGGAATATATGGCCTCTCTTGGAGGAGACAAATGATTGAGAAGAGAAATTCAAGCTATTACACTTTAGAAGAAATAAACTTATGGAGGGAAACTGAAACTTCATGTGGTGTGGAGGTGAGTGAAGCCAGTGGAGTATGTCTCTGAATTCAAGGGTCTATCTAACAGTTTCACAAGTAAGGTAATTTTTAGTGCTGAGGTCAGGCAATAGCCACTTGGACCAACATTTTCTGTAAATATGTAGAATTGAGCCAGAGAAGAAGATGAGAGTGGGGTCAATGCAGAGATCATATACTGTATGTTGTATAATAATAGTATTGTGTATTTCCATTAAGGGGTACATAATTTCTGTTAGTAGTCACTGATGATTATTGGTTAGATCTGCTAATTAAGTAGGGTTTGCAAGATGAAGCTTTGAAAAGTTTCTTGCTAAATAATTTCAGAAAGAGAAATTTCTTTGTCAACTCTTTGTTACCCTGAGGTGTACTTTAAGAAAGGAAGTATAACTGCTTGTTTTTTGTTTGCTTGTTTGTTTTTTTTTTTGAGACAGGGCCTCACTGTGTAGTTCTTACTGGCCTGAATTCACTGTATAGTCCAGGTGGGCCTTGAACTCATGGTGATCCTCCTGCCTTAGCCTCCTGAATGCTGAAATTTCAGGCATATGCTACCACACAGTCTCAGTTTTCAAACTAATGAATGGTTTTTTAGGATTCTTACAAGGTGATCAATGAATTATCTTTAGTACTTTTAATGAATTTTTGGATTTAAAAAATTTGATATTTCAGTCCATTATTTTTATATTAGCTAGTGGAAGTTTCTTCATATAGTTCCTGTATCCCCTTGATATGACCTTAGTAGTCTTTAGTGGTATCCTTGTTTTTCACCGTTATGGTATGGAACTATATATACCCCAAAGTCTCTTGTGTTCAGGGGTGGGGCTTGTGGAAAGTGCTTGGATTGTGAGGTCATTGTACTTATCAGTGGAGTAATCTATTAGTATTCATAGATGAAAGTGCTTTTAGGAGGTAGGGGCGAGTTGGTGAAGGTGGGTCACTGGATGCAGCCTTTGGAGGGTGTATCTTTTGCCGGGGGTCTTCCCTTTTTTCTACTTTCTGGCTGCCACAGGTATTGAATGGCTTTCCTCTGCTGTGCCCTTCCACTGTGCTATTGATGTCTTGAGCCAAATAACCAAGAACCCTCTGAAATGGTGAGCTAAAACAAATCTTTCTTTCTTAACTGTGTTGTGGATGTCAAGAATTTTGTCTAAACAATGTGAAGCAGCCTAATACACTTGATATGATAGACTATCCTGTTAGGAGCCCTTGAAGCTGAATACATGTGCAGGGCTGCAGCATGAGCAAATTGAGAACAAAGAGACTTTGCAAAGGGCAAGATAGGCCACAGTTGAGGATACCTGGCTCTGACTCCAATTAATAAGATAGAGATTGTAGCTGCAGGCATTTCACTCCTGTAATGAAAGTCAACCTACAGACTTTCTCTTAAGATAGTTTCCCTAAATTAATGTAGTCTGTTACTTGGAAAAGTCCTTTAACCATGCCAGTCCTGCTCAGGTTTCCTGCATTTTCCTCCCTAATCCCTTCCTTGTTTGAAAAGTAAATAAATACGCCCAGAGACAATGTCTTAGCCCTCGGAATCTTGAACTCTGCAAGAGGATTTTGATCCTTCTGGATCATACCATTTGTCTCTTTTATTTAAGCCTTTGCCATATACTTGTTTGGGAGATTGAGGATCTTGGCCAGGTCCCCGATACTATCCGAGGATCATGTTGTAACTGTCCTGATACAAACTTGAAGTCAACCATTTTCTTATAGAACTTTGGTTGTTTATAGCAGGAGATAGTATTTAGAGACCCACAATCTTGGTTCTGGGGTTATTCTTTGCTGCATGGATCCAGGAAAATAGTAATTTTTTCTGTTTTTTAACTTGGGAAATAGATATAGTCCTTGTCTTGTTAATAATTGAAGTAGAACATCATACATACTAAAATATTTGGATTTTGGTATATTGTAGGCCCTTGTCATGGAGATAGGGAAGGAAGGCATCAAGGAAGGCTTCTTCAAGGCACTTGACCTTGGTTAGGAGGAATACAGTGAAGGGAATGAACTCGTTTTGGGAAGAACCTATTTAGGGCATATATGGGGTATACTTTTGTTTCTGCATTTGTAAGCTGATAAGTGTGACTTCATTTCCTCATCTATAATTTTATGATGTTTAGAATACATTTTACTTCTCTTCTGGTCTTTTCTGTCACTAATAATACATATATTATGTATTACTAATAATACATAATAAGATCCCTAGAAGAGAAATTGTTTATGTAATGAGTTTATGAATTTTGAGATTTGGCATGTTTATTGCCAAATGAGGCTATGATAATTTACAACTTTTTACTAACAGTAAGATAATGCCTGTCGCTTCATACCTACTCTAATGAAATTTAAAAGTAAAAACTTTTTCATTTACTTGATATGTTGATTCGATTCTATATCAAAAAACTTAATTTAAATATTCTTATTTCTTAAAGCACAAAATTAATATGATGATGCTTTAAAAATATAAAAGTTTAAAAATAGTTTTATTATTTTTTGAACTGAGAAACTTATTTTGTAACAGAACTTTGTAGTTGTTTACTATGGATTAATATTTTTCCAAGTTTTGAAAATAAACTCCAAATCAAGATACATAGAAATCTTGTTACCCTCTTCACATTGGTGCAGGAATAAAAGACTTCCTGATCTGTTGCCTGCCCCCATGCCTTTCTTTCTGCTGATTGTACATTATTATCTCCATTGTACATTATTATTTACTTTCCTGTGATTAATTTTGTGAATCTGTTCGTATCAGAAGAATCTTTATTTGGACAGTCAGCTAGCCTTTCAAAGACAAAGTGATAAAGCATTCTTAAGTATATTAATTTACTTATTTTTCTTTTTTGGTATTGAGGATTGAACTCACAACCTTATGTGTGCCAGGCGGGCACTTATACCGCTGAGCTAAATCCCCAGCTCCTTAAATGTATTTGGGAACTTTCTAATTTTATCAGGCTTCTCATATCTTTGTATAAGTGTATTACCATTTGTAGTGGCCACCTGTCTGTTTCATAAAAATGACTGAATACATTTATTTGTGAAAGTAGAACATTCATTTTTCTCTTTTAGGTGCTGTCAAATTTATTATTTTAATGATACACACTTTCGGAAATTGTCTTTTATTTCTGTATTCTTAAAATTACCTGTGATTCTTTTTGTTTTTTTTTTTTTTTTCCCTTTTTATCGATACCAGGGATTGAACTCATGACTGCCTGCTTCCAAGGCAGGCGCTTATGCCGCTGAGCTAAATCTCCAGCCCCTTACCTGTGATTCTTACATGTGTTGATCTAGATTTTAAATAGTATTCATTTAAAAATTTCTATTATAAATATGTGATTTCATCATGTCTCTGTACTTATAGGTTTCACTTGTATTTTGAATGTTTGTGGGAAAAGAAAAGGAAAAGAGTAAAGACAGGAGAGGTCAGTAGTTTTAAATGTTTTTTTTTCTCCTTAAATAGAAAGCTGACATTTATTTACTTACTTCTTTTTGTATTCTGCTATTGAGCATTGAACTCAGGACCCTACACTTGCCAGGCAGGCACTTGTACCACAGATCTGTATCCCCAGCCTATTAGAATGCTAACTTATATCTGATACTACTCTTCGAGATATGACTGCTATCTAAACTCCTAGTTTAGTTAGTTTTTCACAGCTAAAGCAGTGAGGATGTTAAAGTAAAATTGAGTTTATTTATATAAAACTGTTAGGTTATCTGAATCTTTTGAGTTGCTCTGATCCATTCTTCATTTTGAACTTGTCACTTTGAGCTTGGTATATTTTAAAATATATATATATTATTTTTTTCTTCATTCTTACATTTTTAGTGTTTTAAAAATTCACCCTTTTTTTCCTTTGTGATCTTTTAAATCTCCATTGTACATTATTATTTCCTTTCCTGTTGTTAATTTTGTGAATCTGTTCGTATCAGAAGAATCTCTTTATTTGGACAGTCAGGTAGCCTTTCAAAGAAAAAGCGATGACCAGTCTGTATGTAGTTTAAAAGATAAACCGTAAGGACAAAGGATTTCTGCTAGGTTGGATCCCACACTTCCAGTCTAGAATGAATTCTCTTTTGTGGAGGCAAGTAACTGTTTCTTGAAGTTGGCAGGAAAACTCTTGGGATTCTCAGAGCCGTGTTGTAGCAGGTATCTGATTCAACTCCTTAGAAAGCTCTCTCAAAGTTCCCTTCTTTGTCTGGAAAGAGGAGCCCAAACTTAAACCCTGAGGAAGATTGTAGCCCAGAGCTGATAAGGGAACAACTGTGAAAGATTCTTTGATGATAGTGTGAAATAGAGCGATTCTAAGACATAAATCTAAATTTTGTGCTCCAAAGCAAATTTTTAGACAGAATAAAGAAGAGCATCTTTTATAATAGAGACAGACCTGATCAATATTTATACCTTCAAAGGAGATGAACGAAGAAAGCTTTTCCCCTCTATTTTTCTGTTTATTCTAAATAGTTCACAAGCAAGCTGACAGGTTTATGGGAGTGACTATGTAAGAAAAGGAAGGAGTTCAAGAGTTACTGGTACATTGTCTTTATTAAAAATAAAATTGATCTTTGAGTGTTTTAGTTCTGTTTACCTTCAGTGAAAGTATTACATATAAATACTAAAGTATCTATACTATGAAATTATTTTGAAGCAGATTAAGTGGAGAAAACAAAAGAAAAGGAAAAAAGAAGCTAAAAGTAAAATAAAATAGCAAGTTGAGAGAAAAGATGAAGGCACCAGAGTTAAGAAAAATAACTTATATTGTCTCCTTTTCCATTTCTGTTCCTCTGTGCTAACTTTTGGGTCACCAGAAGATAGACCACACATTGAATTGTGTGACCATTGGGCAACTGCAGTGGATTAACTAATGGGCAACATGTAACGCCCAACTGAACTGAATCAGCATGGTTCTGGGTATGGAAGGCCCAGCTGAAGATTGTTGCCAACAGTTAGGAGAACTGGAGGGGAAGATGTCATGCTGTTGATTCCCTGGGAGAAGCTTGTTGTATGGTGTTCCTAAGAATTCGATTGTTCTCATCATTGGAAGAGCTTGTGTCCTTGCTGTTGCTGTGGATGCTGTGATTCTTTTTGAGGGAGCTCTATTCCTTATATTTGAGTGTTGCTTGTTGGCTCCAGTGCAGACGCTCAGCCTGGTGGTACAGATCCTTCCCACTGCTGGCGCAGGCTTTCTAAATTCCAACACTGATCATTGGCCCTTCCCCATGCAGATCTTTGATGGAGATTTGCATGAGACTTTGCTGTGAACTCTAGTCCAGGCTTCCAGCTGGACTCGTGGAAGATATTGCTGTGGGCTCAAGGTCTTTGGCTTGACTTGTACAGGGCATTACTGTAAGATTCAGGCTCTCAACTGGATTCTTTGAGTCTCTATTGTGTGGACAGATTTCCTGCACTCTTCTCCATTTGACTTTTTGGGTGAATACCATAAAATAATCCTGTAAATTATGTGTTCTGTATTTTTTTTTTTTGGGGGGGGGTATGGGGATGGAGCTTATGTTCCATAGTGCGCTTGCAAGGCAGGTGCTATGCCTCTGAGCTAAATCTACCCTGCCTATGTGTCCTGTATTAAATCTGTTCCCGTGTAAAGCCTGACTAAAATAGCAATAAATAACTCTGTACCTAAGTTTTTCTAATTTCTAAAATAAAATAGTACATCACTTGCCACTTAAGGTGGTTGGATGAACATAAAATCTGTCAATTGTGTGTGATAAGTACTCCTGTGTGGTAAGTACTCAGTAAATGTCAGCTGTTACTTTTTGCTTTCACTCTTGTTATTAACACTTTTATTTATCCATATATCCAACATACGTTTATTGAACATCTCTATTGGGAGTTGGTGATTAAACAAGATGAAGACACTGTCTTGAAGAGGCTTTCTGTTTTGTGAACAAGAGAAATAAATACTTACAGATTGTGCTAAGTACTGTAAAGGAAGTAAATAGAGGAATGAGAAAGAAAGAGGTCATTTTAGGTGAGAGAGTGAAAAGACATTTTTAGAACATAGTTATTCATTTGTGGCCTGAAGATTGCAGTGGACCCATTCACATATTTATGATTGTTAGCTCTTCCTCTTGGATTGTTCCCTTTATGAGGATGTAGTGACCTTTATTTCTCTTAATCAATTTTGGCTTAAAATTAATTTTGTCTGTAAATTGTATAGCTACCCCTGCTTTTTTCTGGGTTCTTGTTGCATAGAGTATTGTTTTCCATCCTTTGACTTCCTATCTATCTATGAATTTCTTTTTTAATTAAATGTGTTTTTTGTATGCAGCATATTGTTGGATCTTGCCTCTTAATCCATTTTGCCAAAGTGTGTCTTTTGACTCTTGGATTAAGACCATTAACATTGATGGTTATAACTGAAAAGTATTGATTTATTCTTGTCATGTTATTTTTCCTGTTGTTGGCACTCTGCCCCCTTTTTCCCCCATCCTCTAATTGTTTGCCTCTTCTGGTGGATTCCTTTTGTTGGGGTTCATGGAGCTATAGTCTTTACTATCTCTTTCTGGAATATCCTTCAGAACATTTTGGAGTGCAGGTTTGGAAGTCATAAATTTCCTCAGATATTCTTTGTCATGGAAGTATCTTATCTCTCCATCAATTTTGAAAGATACTTTTGTGGGGGCATATCAGTCTGGGTTGAAAGTTGTTTTCTTTAGAATTTGGAGTACTTCACTCCAAGCTCTTCTTGACTTGAGAGTTTGTGCTGAGAAGTCAGCTGTAATTCTGATGGGCTTTCTTTTATAGATGATTTGTTTCTTTTCCCTAACAACTTTTAGGATTCTATTCTTGTGTTGAATTTCTGGACTATTGACTACGATATGTCTGACTGTAGATTTTTTTTATCATTGCTAATTGGAGTTTTATATGCTTCACTTACTTGTATGACAAATTCTTTTTCTCTAACCAGGAAAATTCTCTGTCATGATGTCTGTGAACAATTTGTAATGTCATTTGTGGTATCTTCTGCTTGTTCATTGACTCTAGTTAAATTGTTCTTCTTTGCCTTGACAGCTGGATCCATTTCTCATGGTCCTTTGCTATTTTTGAGAAATCTTTCCTTTCCTGGCTGTTAACTGCAAGCCTGTCTTCAATATCTGAGATCCTGTCCTCACATTGGCATAATCTGCTTCGAATCTTTCAATGGAGTTTGTTTTCTCCTGGATACCAGCTTGAATTTGCTTTATGGATTCCATTTCTTTCCTATGCTGTGCTTTCATAAGTTGCTTAAGCTCATCAATTTTTTTGTAGTTACTTGAGAGATTATTTCTGATTTTTTTTTTTTCCCAGAGCCTCATTCAATTGCTTTGTTATTACCATTTCAGAGAGGCCTGATTGTCCCACCTCATTGCTCCTGGATTTGCCTTTGGCAAACTGGATGTCTGGGATTGCATTTTGTTTAAGTGCCTGCCTTCTCATTTTATTTTCTCTCGTTTTTAGTTTAATTCCTGGGTTGATGCTTCTATGTTGCCAATGGTGGGTTGCTTTATTGGTGGTTTTTAGGACCCTTAGATGATGATTACTTCTCTGAAATTTCTTACAAATAGAGCCTGTGTTTGGGTGTTGAGTCTGTTGGAAGATCTTACGTCTTCAGTATGTTGGAAATAAGAAGTTGTTTCTTGTTGGCCTAGTCCCTGGTTCTTTGGCACCATGCCACCATACTTTCTATAACCCTTAGTCATGGAATATCAGGACCAACAGCTGTTCAGAACAATTATGTCAATAGCATTAAACATAGCCTAGAAAACAACAGACTGAACTAACCCTTAATTTGCAAATTTTTTTTTTTTTTTGGTAGTGGGGATTGAACTCATGACCACGCACTTGTAAGGCAGGCGCTTATGCCACTGAGCTAAATCCCTGGCCCTAATTTGTAACTTTTAACAGTATGAATTAGATTTGTGATTATGTAATAAAATGTAAAACAAACCAGATAATTATATGCAATATAACCGTTTTTAATATTTCAATTTTGCCCTTGAGGGTTCAGATTTAAAATGGATTAAGGAGAAAATAGATGGAGAAGGAAAGAGATTAGAAGTAAGGTTGGAGTACACAGGGGAATCACACTAACTTGAGGAAACTGGTACAGAAGACTGAAAGAAAAGAGATGGAAGAGATAAAAAGAAGAGTAGAGCAGAACCATACCCACAAAGAGGTTAGGAACCACTTTCACATTCCTACAAAAGCAATCAAGGAGAAAGAGGGAAAAAAAAAAAGAAAAAGAGAAAGAAAAACAGTCTACTTTCAGGCTTCTCTGTGGTTTCACTAGTAGACAACCTGTGGAGACAGAGTCCCAAATTGTGTCGATTTATTCCAGCAAACTAGCAGTTGCTTTATGGTGGAGTAGTAGATAACCTCAGCAGATCTGCCCGGGGACCAGACTCATTGGGCTTGTCACAGTCCAAGCAGTTTCCATGGGTCCAGGCCCAGCTGGTAGCTACTAGAGGAAGCCAGCAGCAGTTCTAGATTCTGGGCTTATCCAGCCTGTCTCCAAAATGACTCCTGTCTAATTGCTCTTCCTGCATGGCAGGACTAAGACCTCCACTCTTAACACCAGGCAGTGCAGTCCTCCACATCCTCTGCTCCTCTCCATTGCCATGTTTCTCTGGGGTTGCCAGTTGTCACCATGCCTCACCAGATTTGAACTGCCCCTCTTGAATAGTGAGTCTCCTCTTAGGGTGAAGGTGCCCTTGGCTATTGCCTTCTTCCTTGAAGTTTTTCTTTTTACTCCCTATGGGTTTCAATTTGCATTTCAGATTCTCTCCTTGTCTTCCTCTTGACGCTATACTCTGGATGGTGAGTGACTCTCAGGCTGTTTTCTCTGTTGCTTACTGTCTGCCATCTTCCCAGAAGTCTTTGCAGTGGACCCATTTAGTCAAGAGCCTGGGGAAATTCATTCCAACAAAGGAAAGCAGGGTTTGCAAGGTTTACAGCTTCCACTTTGGAGAATAGAATGTGGAAATATCTTTTTCACTGGCCAAGGAAAACAAAGAGGAAAATAGTTAATGGTCTGAGATGGCTTCTACCCCCATGCTTCTATATTCCTTAGTACCATGCTTTATTTATCCTGTTACATGAGGCTTCAGGGAAGAGCACCCCTGTGGACACACTAAGACTAGGCTGACAAGGACTCCACTGCTACCTCTTTCAGTTTGTTCAGGGGAACAGTTATTTCATATTAATTTAAAATTTCATTTCTAAAAAGTCTCTTAAATCTAACAGTTGTTATGGTTTACAGTTCTGAAATACAATAGTCCTTGTTTTTTGCTTGTGCAATTCTTAGTTTCTCATAATTACAGTGTTGAACTTAAGAATAGGTTTTCAAACTTTCATTTAAAGTGTTTTGTGAGAAGCTTCTGAAACTGAAAAACTTAAGAAACACAGTGGAGTTTAGGAATAGAATAAGAGGGAAAAATCAGTAGGACAGAGAAAAGTTATAAAAATGATTGTCTGTCTTTTGATCAGACAGTTTCTCTTGCCCCATTTGCATCATTTATCTCTTACAATTACAGGTATTTGCTTTTTTGAAATTTTATCAGTGAAGTAGTAAAGAAAGAGTATTCATCCAGTCTTTTGAAAAAAATTTGTACATAGGTTTGTTAATTTGAATTTTTTTATCTTATGTAAAATTTTGTGAAATTTACTTTTGAAACCAGAATATTGAACATATATAGTGGATTTATTTATTTTCATTTATTGTTTTCCCTTAGTCTTTAGGAAAAGTATCTCAGGGCTCAAGTAAAAGTCAGAGGATAATAATTTGTTTCTTGCTAATTTTTTAGTTAAATTGGATATCTTTATATGATAAGATAGGTGACTGATAATTAGAAACTTTTTAACTTTTTCAATGTCTGGACTGACCTGAGAGATAGGAACTCTTTTTACGTCTTAACCGTATCACCCAACTCATGACCTCAGGATTAAATGTTCTTTAATTGATGTATTCTTCTGTGAGAAGTTACTGTATATTTTTGTTACACTTAATTATTTTATTTTTTGATCTCTATTAAATAATGTAGTCCTAAGAATAGATAACAAGTTGAATTAAAACTTTCAGCTTTTATAGAATCTTTAGAAGTGTCTTGTGGAATGCTCAAAAAGCAAGTTAGTGTTTAAAAAAATGATAGATAGTGGAGTTGGAGATGTCAATAATCCAGTACTCGGGGAGACTGAAGCAGGAGAATTCCAAGTTGGAGCCCAGTTTACTCAACTCAACTAGCTATTCATTGAGACCCCGTCTTAAAAAGAAAGAGCTGGGCATGCTACTCCACATCTGCAGTCCTGGCATTCTCACAGGCTGAGGTAGAAAGATCACAAGTTCAAACCCAGCCTGGGCAATTTAGCGAGACCCCATCTCAAAATAAAAAAATGAAAAGGGCTGGGAATGTTGCTCAGTCAGTGCAAAGGCCCCTGACCCAATTTTTAACTGCCTCCACCCCCTCATGACGGATCTCAATGCAAAGGCCCTAGATTTAATGGCCAGTACCACAAGTAATAAGAGGAGGAAGAGGAAGATTTCAGTTAGTATCTAATCATTGCAAATTGGAAGTTTAAAGTTTAAAAAAAAAATTTGTCATCATTAGATTGGGTAGTTTACTTAGCAGCAGAAAGCAACAGAAGAGGTATATTACTTTAAAATTTAACCAACCTCTAGAGCAGTGATGAGAACCTTTTTGAGATGAATGCCAAACTGCAGCCCAAGACTCATTGCAAAGTGCCAACACTGCAAGTAAACCTGAATACTGAGGTTTTAGCTTAAGAAAATAAAACCCCCCAAATGGCACCTCATTCTTCTATCTTAAAAACAAATAGCACTCGTGCCATAAGTGCCACTTCTTCAGGAAAACATGTTTATTCTAATTGGAAATACTACTATATCTTTTTCCAGATATCTTTGGTTTATACAGTTTTTTTTTTTCTTTTTTCTTTTTTGAGCCAGAATCTCACTGTGCAGTTCAGACTGGCTTTGAACCCGAAGTGGTCCTGCTACTTCAGCCTCCCAAGTATTGGACTTGTAGCAATATGCCACTATTCCCAGGCCTTCAGTTCATTTTTGAGGAGTTGTTTAAGATGTTACTCATGTGGGGAAGATTGATGAATATTCGGTTACCACCTTTGCTGAACACTGTCACTGTTGTGCTGCGCTGTGCTTATTACTATATACTATATAGTAGTATAATGCTCAGTCAGCCTAGGATGTCCAGAAGCAAGAGGAAAAGCAGTGGTAATAATGAAGGGGATGCTAGGAAGCACAAAGCAATGTGTGTTTTATGTATATGTCAAGGTTGTGTGAGAATCACTGTTGGATTTAGGAATGAATCTGATTTATAAACGTTCTCCCAGAATGGAACTTGTTAATAAATTGACAACTTACTGTATTATCATTAAAGGACAGCAATTTTTTAAAGAATCTTTTTCAATTCATGAAAAAAAAAAAAAAAGCAAGCAAGCAAACAAATGAAAGATCCCTAGGCTTTTGGTGGTGAAATGGTAAGAATAGTCTCCTTGTTTTCCTGTCTCTAATATGCATTTTGGGGGTACTTAGAATTAGGGCTTTGAGCATGCTAGGCAAACGCTGTACCAATGAGCTCCATCTCTTGCCCTTTTTAAATTTTATTTTGAACTGGGCATAATGGCATATGTCTGTAATCCCAGCACTTGGGAGGCAGAAGTAGGAGGATCAATGTGAGTTCGAGTCCAGCCTGGGCTACCAAGTGAGCTTAAGGGCAGCCTGAACTGCATAGTAAGACCTTGTCTCAAAAAGACAAAAAACTTTTTATTTTGCAGCAAGATCTTGCTAAATTGCTGAGGTGGCGTTCGATCTTACACTTCTCCTGCCTCAGCCACCTGAATAGCTGGAGGCATAGCATGTGCCACCCTGCTGGTCTTTTAAAGTACATTTTGTATTTTCTTTTGTCTGACAAGTAAAAACACCACCACATTTCTTTCCAGACTGACCTTAACCTAAAACAGGTGCCATTAGAATGTTGTTGTTGTTATTATTATTATTATGTAGCATTATGAAATTATGACGCTGATTTGTTTCTCTAGCACAGCATTACTGTTTAAACAACATTTAGAAATGTATTTTCCTGGTTCTAGGATGGCTCCATATGAATAAACTCTGAATCTGATTGCTCCTGTTTTGTCTGAAATAAAGACATGTTACGAGGACTGTCAGTCAAGTTAAAGAGATGTTCATATCCATGATTCTATGCTGAAATTATGAAGTAGAAGATCATCAAACAGATTTCTGCAAACATATAGATCAGTCTCCCATCTTTTTTTTTTTTTGTCACGTTAATGTGTCAGTTCATAAATGTGTGAATTTGGAATCAGGTCATTCTGGAGTGAATTATAGCTCTGTCATCTGTACTATGTGATTATGTAAACTTCCTGTACCTCTCTGTGTCTCAGTTTTTTTCACCTATAAAATTAAATAATGTACCTTTTTTACAAATATTGAATGAAAAATAAATAGGTATGTGAAATTTTATTTTCTGTGTTTTTGCACTGACGGTTGGAAACTGTCAAAGCCTTTATTACATTATTTTTGAATAAAAGTAATCTGCTTCCTACTTGTCTTGCCCTGTTTTACTCAGCTGCTTGCTCCTCTGGATTTATCATCTTGAACCTTTACTTTTACCTTTGCTACTCCCTTCTTTAAAACACTAGCAGATTTTCTTGACTTGCAGGATGAAAGCTTACATAGGGAGGGTTCATGGTTTGGCTCCAAAGTGGCCGGCCCTATTACCCATCACTGACTCTCACGTTAGCCAGTTATCTCCTTGATGCATCATTGTATATTTTCTAGTCTGCACGCTCATCCAATTCATCCAATGCCAGTGTGCACTCATTTGTGGCCACTCAGCCATTCTATCATCTCAAACACAGAAGCCACTTTGCACTTCTCATTGATCTCATGGACCTCTCAGATTCCATATTTTTTATTATCTGCCTTCATGAACTTAGTCTTGACTTAGACCATTGTTTTCCATTGCCCCTTCCCCCCACATTGAGCATAGAGACTTTCTATCACTAAGCTGTATCCCCATTTATTTTTATTTTATTCTGAGACAAGGCTAAGTTGTCCAAGCTGGCTAGAAATTCTGATACTTCTGCCTCAACCTGCTAAGTAGATAGGATTGGCAGTGTGCACTGCCATGCTCAGCTCTCTTTTGTGGTGTGTGTGTGTGTGTGTGTGTGTGTGTGTGTGTGTGTGTGTTTCATTGATGTGCTTAGGAAATCTTCCAAGTTGGACTAGTCCCACTGGTCAGTGAGTTTTTCATCCTCAGCACTGTTGACATTTTGAACTAGGTAATTATTTGTTAAGGAGGCTCTTGTTGGTGTTGTAGGTTGTTCAACAGCATGCTGGCCTCTATCCATTGATGCTTGTATTAACCACTTTTCTACAGGCTTCACCAGCAAAATGGCCTATAGACATTGCCAAATACCCTAAGGGAAAAATTTGTCCACCTTATCTTCCTTTGTTCTAACTGTCCTTATTTGTCCTTGTATGTACATTCTTTATTTTAAAAATCACAGTTAGGTTATTGTTTCTATAAATCTATATTTCCTAATTTTAAGAGGTACTGAATTTTGGCTGGCAGACCTTTAATATTTTGCTGGTCAACTCTTTTTTATTTTTCATAGGGTTATTTCAGACTTTCATTCTCTTCAAATTTCTCATCTCATTACCTTCTTTAATCATTAGTACATGACCTTGCCTTCAAAGAGAAAAGAAAATAGAAGCTATTAATTTGTCCTCACTAAACTTGGTGATACTGTGATCTGAGTTTGAGTTAATGGCTTTAGGATTTAACACATTTTATAACCTTTAAAACCAAGTTAGTCTTTAAAACTCATTTTCTTTATATTATGGCTGTCATAATGGAAATCATGGTGTACTGAGTATTGTGCCTTGCCTAGTGACAAATGATGATGGAGCATGAGGAACCCTAGAGCTGGCGAAAGGGATGCTATTTTGCATAAAGTGCATAGAAAGCTTCATATTAGGATAATGTTTGAGGAACTGAGGGAAGTAAGGGACGACCCACATAGTTTTTTGGGACAAAGGCTTTTAAGAAATGTGACTATAAATTAAGAATAGTAACTGTAGAATAGTGTGCAGTCAAGAAGAATGGGGAAGTTTGTTGATTTTTTTAAGATAGAAGAAACTTGTGCCAGGGATTTAGTTCAGTGGCATAAGTGCCTGCCTTGCAAGTACCCAGTCGTGAGCTCGATCCACGGTACCAAAAAAAAAAAAAAGATGGAAGAAACACGAAAAAGTCTTCCTTCTCTAATGACATCTTATGAATATAAGGAAGACTTTAGTAACAAGGTATTCTATGCTATTGCTGGATTAATCATTAAAAATGTAAATGTAATTACTGTCTGCATAATGTATTTAAAGACCTTTATTTGCCATTAGCCAAAAATTCAAATATTTTAAGTAAGTTTTTGGGTTATTATTTAGAAAAGTTACACTAAAAGTTTCATATTAAAAAATTTTCTAGGATGGGGACATAGTTTAGGGTAGAGTACTCGGTTTACATGCATGAGGTTAATCTGTACCACTGCAAAAATAAAAACCACAACCAAAACAAAACGAAAAAGTTAAAAGAAATTTCAATGTAGAAAGCAATGTGATCTTAAGAGATAAGAGCACCTCAAGAAATAAGTTTTGAAAATAGTGATTCTTAGCCACATTCATGAGGGAAGCAAATCAGGTGTCTTGTGTGTGAACAGTGGCTTTGGAGACTCACGTCCAGCCCTGACTCTGCTGGACCAGCACTATGAAGTCATGTTCTTAGACATACTGGTCATAATACCTTAGCATGTTCTTTCTTAGCCTCAGTTTCCTCACCTGAAAAAAAAAGTAAAGATACGATTCTTAAAATTATTTTAAAATTATTATTGGGATTGAGATAATTTATTTTATATGGCTGAATTCATTTTATCACAGGCTGAATAGATCTCACATGCCAAGTACTGGCACCTCATTGATGTACTGTCCTCAAGTTTAACAAGATTGTACTCAGGATTCTCTAAAGAGAAAATATTAAAAATTTTAAACCGTATACAGAAGGAGCAAGTCTAAAATGAATCATAGTATAAAAATAATGAAGAACTAGATCTTTTTGGTTTTGTAGGGAATTTAGTAAGCATAAAATAGACATCACAGCTGGAATCTTACTTGTAAATAGGAACTAACGTGCAAGGAAATGTCAAAAAAGTGTGTGTGAAACTTTATTATTATTATAATCTTCCTTTACTAGAATAAAAAAAATATTTTCACAATCTGTAGCAACTTTCATTTGACAGTATCTCGAAACATTTTTGACACCTGGAAGAGGATAGGTTGGGAAAGTGAGAGGTGGTGCTGCTGAAATCTAGCGAGTAGACAGGTTGAAGTGCTGCTCAATTTTTTTAAGTGCAGAAAATAGTCCCCACACCACGAAGAATTATCTATGCTGGAATCTAGAAGATATCTTCTAGTAATGGAGGAGATTGTGGAGGAATACGTTATGTGCATATATTACTTTGCCATCCAGTAATCTTATTGTTCTTTACTACTAGTATGCATCCCCCCAACAAAAGAGAAAAGTAGTTATCTGTCCCAAAATGTCAGTAGTACCAAATATGTCTTTTGTTAAAAAATGCTTCTGAATGAACTTTCAAAGCCACAGAAGAAAGACTTTCTGTTCATAACTGTGAGTACTGTTCCGATCTTTAAAAGCAGGAAAACCAAATAAAATCAGCTTATTTTTAAAAGGAAGTAATCTATTTTAAAGCATAAGTTTTGTCAAGTCGATATGGTGTTGGATATCTGACTGAAGTAAATTACTTTGAATGTACAGTGGTACCTTGGTTCGTGAACTTAATTCCTGCAGTGATTTTGGTTGCAAAGTGAATTGGATAACAACGTGGTCAAATTCATGGTTAGGTTCAATGTTGACTGTAGGGGAAATTTGATTTGGGTCTCGTCTAATTCAGTTTGCAATCAGAATCATGGGAAGAATTAGTTTGGTAAACGTACCATTTTCTGTCAATATGGCTTTCAAGTGAAAATATCTCAACTCCATCTGTAGGCATCTTAATTTTTTTTCATATCCTAAAATATAAATGATCTAAAACAAGTTTAAAAGCAATTCCATTCACCTGTAATTCTTTTTTTTTTTTTTTTTAAATTTTATTTAAGGAAAAAATGAAAAATAAAAACAGAAACAGGGTACAAGTTATACAGACTTTCAGAAAAAATAAACAGTAGGAAATCACTAGTTAATTACATATAGTCATCTTAGAAATAGTTGTTGAAGTTACAAAATTAAAGCATATAGAGGGGACTTTCAAACAGTGAGACTGCAAACAGTTTTGTTCAATGATCCAACAAAACACAGTAATATGGTTATCTATCTTATACACTTAAATATATATGCAGTTATATCTTTTAGAGAACTTTCTTTTCCTTTCTTTTGTACAATGACAATTACACAATTTGGGTTTTATTACTCCCACAGTTCTTATTACTTTTTTTGGAGAAAGTAAAGCCAAAGGTGACATACCAGTATAGAGTCAGTCAAATCAAAAGGATGGACATAATACATAATGCAAAAACAAAATACAATCACCTGTAATTCTTGAAGATGGCTTTGTATTATATATAACTGTAAGAAATATTATATAATTTCTGAAGAAAAAGTTTGCTTTTTTAACATTAATTGAATTTAATAAAACATTTGAGGATTCAGTGTATAATAATGTTTAAAAATCATTGTGTATTTCAGCATAGCAGTGGCATTTGTAAAATTTACAAATATGAACTGTAGTTCTGATGAATCCACAGTGGTTATATTAAACATGATTTTTCTAATTTATTGATATGAATTATGTGCTAAGTGATGAAAATGCCCCCATTAATATTGTTTATTACAGAATGAAAGCAAAAGACTGTTATTGAAACACAAAAAGGAATGTTGTTCCTATATGCTAGTAGCCAAGGTCATGAGCTTTCTACTTCATTTTTCACTCAATGATGCTATCAGGAATGTTTCTTATCTGAAATAGTGCCTCTGTCTCTAGGCATTCAAAATGCTGTGATGAATAATTATTATTATTATTCTTTCCTTTTTATCAGTACTGGGGATTGAACTCACGACTGCCTGCTTGCAAGGCAGGCACTTATGCCGTTGAGCTAAATCCTCAGCCCCCAATAATTATTATTTTTATTGACATGTATTATTGACAATTATTAAATTGTCAATAGCATTCACAGAGGAGGAGAGTTTTAGGTTCATCTATCTGGTAATCATTGTGTTCACAAACTTAGTACTCCTAGTCAAAGGCTCCAGGCCTTAAAACAGTCCTGCTTGTGTAACTACATTCTAGGCTATTAATGAAGCAATCACTATTATCACCATTGAATGTATCTTGGAGACTCAAGTAACATCTGAAATTACTGTGAAAAATAAGCATTTTATGTCATTTGCTTCTTTTTTCTGTCTTTGTAATTTTATTTTAAAGAGATTAAAACCAAACAAAATAAACAATAAAACCAATTAAAACAAAACAGGGTAAGTGACACAGGACATCAAAACAAGATAATAGGAAATCCACGATTGCCATAATGATTCTTACTGTCTTCAAAATAGCTTCCTATACCTTCAGACAAAGTAAAAATCAAACAAAGCAGAACAGACTAGAACCAATAAAAACAAAATAATGAATGCAATAAAGAATTTCCAAACAATAGTAAATCCAAAATGGCTACCATACTATATCTTGTTATCTTTGAAATAGATGTTCATGCCACTAGATAGAATAGAAATCAAACAAGACAAAACAGAATAAAACCCAACCAAACAAAACAATGAAAATGATACAGGACTTCAAAACAAGATAATAGGGAATTAATAATGGCTATCACCTTTAGGAGGAGATTTCCCCATAGATGCTGCATTGCATATTGATATCCTCTGAATAGATGATCAGAGACTACCAGCTTCAGGCCTGCAAAGTCAGTGAAACACCGACCACTACCAGCATTAAGTTGTATTTTACCTCAATAGCTATCATCATCTCCTCCCCTGCAGTCTGTGAATGGTGGTGACTCACAGGAAAAGGCTGGTGTCTGATTCTTCTCCCAGTGGCCCACGCTTGGTGCCTATCATTTGCTTCTTGATTAAATTGGAATCCTTCCCTTCTGGGTCAGGACTTTTCATATTGGCACAAAACAGTGTCTGATTGTACAACTATTGGAATAAAACTACATGGTATAACTTTAAATTTACCAATTTTGAGATCATTTTTAAAATTCTCAAAGTAGTAGATGTTTATTCCTTTGCATTGTAGTAGTTGGAAAATCCAGAAAAGAAGAATGAATTAAAACTAAACAGACCCATTTCTGTTAATTCTACCATCCAAAGAAAGCCACTAATACTATTTAGTATTCACATTCACGGAAATCTCTTTCCTGTTTTTTGGTAACTGAAATCATCATTGCCTTCATACCCCAACAAAGAAATTTTAGGTTGATATGTGGTAGTTAGGTCTTATAATTCTAGTACTTCTTTTTCTATTTTGGTTCTTGAATTTCTCCAGTACCTCAGCTCCTGACTCATTCCTTTTCGTAGGTCCCTGTCTTAGATAGTAAAAAATATATCCATTAAATTAGTCTTTCTATTTCTATTGTCTTTCCTTTTATTCTTTACATATTAGTAGATTTCTCTAAAAATTGGGCTTGATAATATCAGTTTGCTTGAAAGCATTCGGTTTCTGAAGCCTTAAATATAAACTGTGGGCAACACTTACAGCACATATAGTATGCTAGATGTTTATGAGACAGGGATTTCATTTGTAAACTTACACTAAATAACTTGATTATCTCCTAAATATATTTTTCCAGACAAAGTTTTTTTTTTTTTTAATTTTTCACAAAAATGTATCCTTTTTTTTTTTTGTCAAACGTCTTAGATATTATCTTCCCTGGGGAGGATTCATAAACTGCTTCAGATAAAATTACTCTGGTGTTCTGGTGACCTAATTATATTGCTTTATAACATTTGTCATATAGTATTATACTTTATGTACATACTTGCTCTTCTAGTCAGTGGGAGAGGTACAGATACCTGTGATTAGAATCATAAATGGTTTTAACTGTCAGTAATTCTGGGAAAGCAAATTTTGTCTCTCATCTTGTCTTCCTTTGCTGTTTAATTTTGCCCTTAGTATTATTATTATTATTAATTTTTTGGTATTGGGGATCAAACTCATGACCTTGCACTTGCAAGGCAGGTGCTTATGCTGCTGAGCTAAATCCCTGAGTATTTTTTTTTTTTACCTGCAGCAGTCTTAATGATTGTCTTCCCCTCAGCTATGAGTATTTCCATGCTCTGCTCCAAAGAAAGTCAAGAGATTTTGGGTATATTTTTAGGGGAGGGAAGAGGAGGTTTTGTTGTGTTGTGAGGAAGAGAGTCTAAGACTAGGAAACTGCTTTGGCTTTCTTGGTTTCTTGTTTGGCTTCTATGTTTAGAATGATCTGTGTCTGAAAAAGGTCTTATTTTTGTTGAGATCACTTATCTTTTTAGTTTTAAAACTTCTTAGCACTTCAGTTAACATTCAGCAATCTGTCCAGAGAATTGAATACATTATCATTATATTTGTTTCTATAGAATTCAGTAATATAAAAAACAACTCACAGGTAGTAAGAAAGAGATTGGGGTTAAGTAAGAAATACAAATAGTTCTGGACGATGCCAACTCATCAGCTCATTATGTTGGGTATTTATGAAGAAAGGAATAAAAAATTACTATTTTCCCTGTACAAATTGTATTTCAGGGTAACCAAATAGTTAATTACAGAAAGCTGTTTTGAAAAAGAAAAATTAATGCAGATAGAATGCAGATAATGAATGCAGATAGAATAATAGAATTAGCGAATCATTTGTGGGAAACCCTGAGGAAATAATGGAAAATTGATCTCATTGGGTGAATTAGACTGGTAACACTTGATAGTAATTGGTGTAAGTAAGACAATCAGACATGATTTGTATGTCTTTATGTAATGGATTAGGAAAGTATATATATCACCGATGAGTACTCTTGCCAAAAACCAAAACTGAATTATGTCTCTAGATGTTACCATTTATAGGAAATATATGGAATAGAGGAATAAGTTAGCAGTCTGAGGAAATACCTAAGTTTAGTATGGGAAAAATTCTGTAGGACCAGCTATGGCCTCTCCAGGGGGAGAACCACCAATGTCTCCTGAGATCGTGCCATATTGGAACTTAGGACTCTGGGAAACCAAGCAACCAGCCTGCCTCCCTGCTAAGCAATAGTGAGCCTACTGTTGCATGGGCTAAGAGTCAATTGTCCCCCTTCTCCTACCCCTTTTCTCTTGCTCCCTGTTAGCAAATGGGAACCAGAGATCTGAGCATCTCTTGGGAGGTTGACCATAGCAAATAAGGGGGATTTCCTTCTCCCATCTCTTTGAAGGCAAATATTTTTATTACTGTTTTGCGTTATTCTGATTAATGGTACTGCTCTATTCAATATTGTGTTTTGGTAAGTTCTATAATATTCTGTATTTCATTTTATTTTGTCATTGAAAGAACAACTATTAGGAAAATAATGAGATATACTGCGATACCTGTTACTGTTATCCTGGTAACCTGCTGTGAAGTTCTGTTCCAATTTCACTACACTGTCTCAGTTGGTTTTATTCTGTCTTGTTCTGTTGTATTTTACTACCTTCAAA